TCTAAAAATTTGCCTAGTCTAGATATTTCATACAAATAGGATCATATCCTTTTGTGCCTGGCTTCTTTAACTTAGCATAATGTTTTCAAGGTTTATCCACATTGTAGTATATAGCAGAACTTTATTTCTTTTTATGGCTAAATAATATTTCATTGTATGTATTTACCACATTTGGTCTATCCATTCACCTGCTGATAGTGCTTTTGAAACAGTAATTGCATTTCAATAGAGCCAGTCTTTGGGGAGTGGGGTGCAGAGTGTGGCACTGATAGTATAAGAAGATTTTCAAAGTTAATTATAGCTCCAAACTAAACCAAAACCACCAAACTCACTGCCATTGAGTCAGGTCTGACCCTTCCTTGGGTTACCGAGGCAGTATCACTGTGGAAGTAGATTGCCCAACCATCCTTCTGAGGAGTGGCTGGTGGGTTTGAACCACCAGCCTTTTGGTGAGCAGTCAAATGCCTTAGGCACTACACCACCAGAGCTCCCAGTTCCAAACTAAAGGGGATGAAAAAAAACCAAAAACCCATTACCATTGAGTCAATTCCAACTCATGGCAACCCCATGTGTTACAGAGTAGAATTGTTCCATAGGGTTTTCTTGGCTGTAATCTTTCTTTTTTGAAAAAATACATTTTATTGAATAAAATTTATGTACAGTGAAATACACAAAACTAAAGTGACATGGGTCAATGCTTTTTTTTTTTTTTGCAGTGTTCCCTCCACTCCCCTCCCATCCCTGGCAACCAACAAAGAAACCTTCCCTCCATATATAAACCTTTCCTTGACCCTCCACAACAACAAACTAATACCATATTTGTCCTCCTGTGATTGACTCATTTCACTCAGCATAATGTCCTCCAAGTTCATCCATATTATGTGGTGTTTTGCAGACTCTACATTATTCTTTAGTGCAGCGTAGCATTCCATTTTGTGTATGCACCATACTTTGGTCATTCACTCTTCTGCTGATTGGAACATACATTGTTTCCATCTTTTTGTTATTGTAAATAGTGCTGTGATGAACATGAGTGTGCATGTATCTGTTGCTGTCTTGGCTCTCACCTCTCTAGGATATATACCCAGTAATGGGATTGCTGGGTCAAATGACATCTCCAATTCCAGTTTTCTAAGGTATCGTCATACTGCTTTCCACAGTGGTTGTATCACTTCACAGTCCCACCAGCAGTGTATGAGAGTCCCAATCTCTCCAATCCTCACTAGCATTTGTTATTTTCTGTCTCACTGAACCTTGCTATCAGTGCTGGGGTGAGACAGTATCTCATTGTTGTTTTGATTTGCATCTCTCAGATGGCCAATGATCGTGAGCATCTCTTCATGTATTAGCTGGCCTCCTTGGTGAAGTGTCTATTCATGTCTTCTCCCCATTTTTCAATTGGATTGTTAATTCCTTTGGTGTTGAGGCATTAGAGTTTTATATAAATCTTAGAGATAAGTCCCTTGCCAGATATGTAACTATCAGCAAATATGAATTTGTTGCTGTCATTTTTGTTATGTGCTTTTTTGTGCTTTCAATTTCTTTGTTCCATGTAATTTTCTATGCTGAGCTCATTTTGTTTATGAATCATGTTACCACTTCCTTCTTTGCTATTGTTTTAGTATTTGCTAAATATTTGTGCTGGTCCTCTTTTTTATTTTGATGCGAAGGTTTATCATTTTTCTTTGAGGTTATCCTGTGATTTATAGTTTCTTCCCAAGTTTGGAAGAGTCCATTCTATCTTCTAGTTGTTGACTTCCCTACCATCTGTTGTTGTTGTTGTTGTTATTTGCCATCGAGTTGGCCCTGACACATAGTGACCCCTCCTTGGGTTTCCGAGTTAGTATCACCACGGAAGTAGGATTGCCCAACCCTCCTCCCGAGGATTGGCTGGTGGGTTTGAACCGCCAGCCTTCTGGTTAGCAGTCAAGTGCCTTAGGCACTATGCTATCTAGAAGTTCTGTAATGACACAGTTTTTTCCCTCATTTTGGTTTGTAGCTGTCTACCTTTGTCAATTGATGTCTCTGGTTCCCTGTTTATAATCTTGTAGGCTTATTTACTTTGGATACTTCCATAGCTGTTTTGGTTTCTGAGTTATATCATCATGTGTGTTAATAGTCAATTGTTGGCTATTGTTGCTTTTCTTTCCAAAGGGCTTCCTTTAGCATCTCTTTTAAGTTTGGTCTGATTTTAACAAATTCCCTTAATTTCTGCTTATCTGGAAATTTCCTTATTTCACCATCATATTTGAGTGACAAGTTTTGCTGGGTACAAGATTCTTGGTTAGAGATTTTTCTCTTTCAGGGTTTTATATATACCATCCCATTGTCTTCTGGCCTGCATGGTTTCTGACAAGAAATCCGAGCTTAGTCTTATTAGTTGCCCCTTGTAGGTAACTTTTTGTTTTTCCCATGCTGCTTTCATGATTCTTTCTTTGTCTTTGGTTTTGGTGAGTTTGATTATGATATATCTTGATGATTTTCTTTTGGGGTCTATCCTGTTTGGGGTTCATTGGACTTCCTGAATGGATATATTCTCATCTTTCATCATACCAGGAAAATTCTCTTCCAACAAATCTTTGACAATTTTCTCTGTGGTTTTATTTGTCTCTTCCTGTTCCTGGAATCCTGATTACACAGAGGTTATTCCTTTTGATAGTATCTCACATGAACCTTAGGCTTTCTTCATTTTGTTTTGATCTTTTTTTCTGATTGATTCCTTTCCAAAGAAGTGTGCAGGCATTTATCTTCAATCTCACTAATTCTGTCTTGCATTGATTCAATTCTACTCTTTTGCCTGTTCAATGTCTTATCTATTTCTGAAAATTTAGTATTAATCTTTTGGATTTCTGTGTGTAGATTTTGTATCATTTCTTATTTTTGATTTATGTTGTCATTTTGTTCTTGAATTGTCTTTCGAAATTGTTCTAGGGTTTCCTCTGTGTTTTCCTCAATTTTGTTAGTGTTTTCCTTGGTCTGCCTCTCAATTTGTTGAAGATACCTAAATATAATTCTTTTGAATTCCTCGTCAGGGAGTTCCAATGCTGTGTCTTCCTCAGGGATGTGTTTTGGATCTGTATCCTGGTCCCTTGTTTCTCCTGCTTTATCTTGCTTCTTTGTGTGGACTGTGATGCTCTGTTGTCTTTGAGGCACTGTGACATTTTTGTGTTTTATTTAATTGGTGACTGTATGTATCTTGCCCATGATTTTAATTTTCTTTGTTTTGTTTATATGTTATCTACATAAACAGGGTACTGTGCTGTGCTCCTCTATTCACTAGTTGACAGCACTTATACACTCACCACCTGTCTCCTTTCCTGTTGTCAGCCTCTTGTATGTCCCTGCTGACCTTTACAAACTGAGCCTATTCTTAGGTCCCTGGAATCCAAATAAGAATGCTGTCACTTTAAAATCTAAAATGGCTGCACCCTTGGTCACTTTAAATATCTAAAATGGCCACTGCTTGTATTCAAAATGGCTGTACCCATGGTCACTTTAAATATCCAAAATTGGCTGTAATCTTTATGGAAGCAGTTTGCCAGCCCTTTCTTCCAGAGAACCACTGGGTAAGTTCGAACTGCCAACTTTTAGGTTAGCAGTCAAGCACAAACTGTTTTGCTGCCTAGGGACTTAAAGAATGCCTGCTTAAATTCACAGCTGCTCAGACCTCCATGTAATTGCTGTCAATAAGTTGTATACCTTTAAGAGTGTACAACTGGGAAAAACTGTGTGATAGATATATTTATAACAACAACCAAAAAAAAAAAAAAAAAAAGAGTCACTTCTGAGGCCACTTATGCATATAATCAAATGTCTCATGGGATTTGGTTCCTTGGTTTGGACATGTAGGGTCATGGTTTCATGGGACATCTCAGTTAATTGGCTTAATAATGTGTTTTGTGCTTCTGTTCTACTTCCTAGTTCATTGCATAGTGTCTAGGGTCTTAAAAGGTTGCAAGCAGCTATCCAAGGCACAATAATTGGTTTCTAGTCTTGTGGAGCAAGAGAGGAAAAAGCAGAGGTAGGAATAGGAGCAGAAAATGGAATGCGTGGCTAACTGCCTCCATGAACAACTGCCACCTTTGCCATGAGACCAGAAGAATTGGATGGTTCCCAGCTCTCACTACTGAACATTTTGATCAAAGATTCTATAGATGAATCCTGATCAAAAAGGGTTAGGGGAAATACAGGAGAAATTTTCAAATTTTCATGGACTCTAGACTTTCTGGAGCTATAGAGACTAGCTAAACCACTCAAACTATTGGCCTGAGATAATCTTTAAATCTTGAACTAAAAATATCCTCTGAAATCATCTTAAAATCAAACAAACAGTTTAGCTTAACTACTAAGCAATATCTGCCTTGAACATTTTGCTCTTTTAAGATCTATCTAAAGGGGATAAAATTGATAACAGCCACCTTAAAGTTAGGTAGGAAAGTTAGGGGGCAGTGAGCTTATGTTAATAGGGGAGGAACAACTCAGAAAAGGAAGGGGAGAATGGTTGCACAGCTCAGAGAATATAATCCATGTCACTGAATTTCACATGTAGAAACTGTTGAATCAGTGTACTAAGGAGCCATGTATATTCCCAAGAACAACAATAAAATGAATTATATAAAAAAAAAAACCTATGGAAAAAATATAGTCTCTAAAACCTAGACTTAATCCATTCTGATTCCCTGGCTTTTGTTGGCATTTAAGCTCATGTTTCTCTGCTTCTTGCCTCCTCAGAAGTATATTCTGCTAGTTTTACAGAAGCAAGTGCCAATCCAGACAAATTGAGAAACAGTCCTATGAAAGGCAGTCCCTGCTAGAAGGACTCCTGACAGCAAAATAAATTATGTAGTTCATCTTTTCCAAAATAGAAGAGAGATAATGGCTGCAAGAGAAAAACAAAGGAAAGCAAGAAGAGAGAATATTCATGATTTCATTCTACTAAGAAGCTCTCCTGAACTCTGTTCTCAGTTTGGAGTTCCCTCCCAGTTAGGGGCTCTCCTTACCCGAAATGGAGTGTTGATTCGGCTCGTAAGTGTGTCCAATATGTGGACGTTCTCATGCTGGTGCAACAGAATAAAACGTAGGAAGATTTCAAGCAGTGCTGGCTCAGAGACACTACGTAGGAAAAGATCCAGGTACGCAGTTGTGGTCATGACTTCCTCCACAGTCACCTGTGACCAAAGACAGAACGAACACAGGTGAGCATCCTCATGATGCTTTGATACATACCCCCAATGACTCTGGCCTCACTGCATGACCCCATCAGGAAAAGAACACGCCTGCCACAAGAATACACTTTTGAGCTCCATCTGAAGCCCATAACCTATTCACATTCCACAATACCTCATGCTGCTTCTGCCCTTTAATGCAGTAAGGGAAAAGCAAACACTTAAAGAAGCAATCCAAGTGTTTCAGAAACTCTGATCATTAAATGCTGTCCAAATACCATAAAGATTTGAGTGTGTAATCAAAAAAGGAAAAATAAAAAGATAACGGAAAGTATTTATATAATCAGTGAAGAATTAATTAGAAAGCACAGTATAACTTGTTGATTATTAGTCACTTAATAAACATTTACTGGGACTGGAAACATCAAAACACATTTTCTGTCCATCAGGAAAATGGCTATACATATGATCTAATGAACAAACTAATGATAACATAAATGACAAATGAGAGGTGCAGACAGCAAATGCTGCAGATGTTCAGACATGTTTCTGGAGAACTGCAAATCAGATTTTTATAACTGAATAATATACATAAAGCGTTATTTATAAAGTGCTGTAAGAGCTTACTAAGGAGCTCTGGTGGCATAGTGCCTAAGGCATTTGACTGCTAGCCAGAAGGTTGGTGGTTCAAACCCACCAGCCACTACCCAGAAGACTGGACAATCTACTTCCATAAAGACTCACCACCTCAGAAACCCAAATGGGGTCACTATGAGTTGGAATCGACTTGATGGCAGTGAGTTTGGTTTGTTCTTTTCTTAATAAGAGCTTACCAGGAATCTCTTGGTGATGCTCATGGTTAAATACTCAATGACCAGCTGAAATGTTGGTGGTTTGAACCCAACTAGAGGCACTTCAAAGACAGGCCTGGTGCTCTGCTTCTGAAAGGTCACAGCCTTAAAAATTCTAGGGAGCAGTCCTACTCTGCACTCCTGAGGTCGCTGTAAGTGGGAATCGACTCCCCAGCAACTAGCAACAGCAGCAGGAACTTACTGCTTATAGAGTAACTGTGACTTTCCTACAATACAAATTAATACCTTCTACCTGGTATGATTTTCCCATGCAGTAAAATGCTAATCTTTCAGGGAACATAATCTGTTGAGTCAAGTTTTTCAGAGAACTGAGAATTTATCCTTCTACGCATGAAAATGTTAACTTTAAACATTTTGATTAGAAGTATTTTAAGAGCTAACATACTCTTTGTCCTCCTAAAAACAAAATATAACATCACTTAATAATTAGGGTTCATCATCAGGGTTATCAATTGCCCTACTGTCTATAATACACCAAAAAACTAAACTCACTGCCATCAAGTCGATTCCAACTCATAGCGACCATATAGGGCAGAGTAGAACTTTGCCATAGGGTTTCCAAGGTTGTATATCTTTACAGAAGCAGGCTGACTCAACTTTCTCCCACATAGCGGTTGGTAGGTTTGAACCACTGACCTTTTGGTTATCAGCTAAGTGCTTAATCACTGCACCACCACAGCTGTCTGTAGTATAGAAACACCCTAATTCAGGTGCATGAAAATCACTAGGGAAACAGTTCAAAATCTCAGATTTCAGCACCACACCCCAGAAATCTTAGAAATCTCCCCACCATGAGTCCAATGCACTTGACACTATTTGAAACACATGGCAATACTTTTTTGAGTGATTTTATCTTCTTCTCTTCTTGTTATTTCATCTTTCTCCCTGCCTTTAACGGTGTTAACTGTCACTTTACTGTCTGTTACTAGGCCATTCCTTTAATACTACATTCCTCTTCCTCATATAATTTTCTGCTTTCAAAATCCACAGATGGGCTGAGAAGTCAGACTTTCAAATTTGCCATCTAAGTGTAGATAGGCCCTTGGTGGACACATCTGTGTATACAGGTTTGGTGATACCTGTTTTGACTGCTTAAATAAATACATTTCTTGGTTCTCAGCTATATTTTGGATAGATGAGTCCAGGTGGATACAATATCATGAAATCAGTTGTGTCTGTTTTCCTTTACTGTTAGTAAGGTATGCTGATATAGAAAGTTTGAATATACGCACTGGAATCTATTGAAAACTCACATATCAATGTCCTGAGAGACCTGAACACAGTATCATAATGCAAAAGCCTTCCCCTCACCCTCCTGCTCAGGGGCCCATGCATTGAGCCTTCAAACATTCAACACACACTCTCATCAGACCAACTTTAAAGGGCTCTCTGTGACCCAAATAGAGCAAAGGGAACAGGTAAGCATCAACCACCTGGCAAGCAGATTACCTTGAGAGGAGTGCTTCTCACAGACTGTCCCTGCCTCTGAAAAAAACTGCTTCCATCCTTGTGTTTCTGGTGTTCTCAAGTCCCATACTCATGGCTCTTGTTAACACTGTCATGTGACACAAGGTGTCTCTTTTTCTTTACTACCCTAGTACAGTGAACAGTCTTCAGAGCTCCTTTTTTTTTTTTTTTTTACCTAGTGCAGTGAACAGAGTCTAACATTCAGAAGGTACTGAATAAATGCTTCCTGAATGAATGACACCCCCAAGGACCTAGTGATTTACATTTGCCAGAGGTGAGCTTAACTTTTCATTCTTATCTGTCTTCTACATGTGTTTTGAAGGATCCAGAGAGTGGGGACATTTTTACTATTAATATTATTTTAAATAAAGACCTAAAAATAACTGATGTCACCAAATATAGCTAAAGGGGAAATGACTCACAACACTCCTAAACAAGTAGCTCCGTTAGCTCATACACATTCCATGGCTGCATCTCGGGGTTGTTTAGCAGAACCATGATCCACAGTGACTCAGGCAAAGTCTAATTCCCTAACAATCATGATCACTGGGAAAAAAGTAGTATTAATCATTCTAAATGGGCCATGTGTGTAGTTTCTGTAAAACAGTATTTTCAGCTTCCCTATTGAGCACTGCTGAGCTGATGTGTCATGCAGAATTCCAAGGGCTGCCTTTGCACCAATAATGCAGCATCAGCCTTTCCCCCTTAAGTTACACATGACCTTAATAAGCTCAAAAGCGCAGCAATAAACTCTTTATAAGTCTCAGGCTTTAGGGGCTGACATGAGAGGAGGGCATTAAGCATCAATTGTTTATTACTCTTAGGCTGGATAAATGAAAAGATTTTATTTCTTTTTAGAAATCAAAGCTGTCATTTATAAAGCTAAGAGGATTTAAGAAAGCACTTGGAGGGGCAGCATTTACATAACATGCTATAAATATTAAAAACCTAATTCTATTAAGCATCTAGTTGCAAACTCCATAAATTGAGGCCATGATCAAACCAATACCCAAACCAGGAAAATTTGGTTCCTTTCTCTTTCCATTTTTCCCTCCACCATATCCTCATAACTCTTGTTGTTGTTGTTGTTGTTATTTGCCATTGAGTTGGCCCCAACTCATAGCGACCCCTCCTTGGGTTTCCGAGGCAGTATCACTACGGAAGTAGGAATGCCCAACCTTCCTTCTGAGGAGTGGCTGGTTAGAAGCATTTTATCTCAGAAAATCTTTTCCTGTCCCATTATCTTACTTTTCTGAAACTTCCTCTGATCCCCTCAAATAGGCAACCTTCTTAACACACATAAGACCAAAGCCTAAGTGTGATCACTTCAAAGCTAATGATAAACCCCAGAGAAAAGAAGTTCTACTGTGCAGAATGTAAAACTGAAACTTCACCTAATGCCCTAAAGAAGTATTTGCAAAATAAGAAGGTAGCATTCTGTTAATGGGCAGTTATGAAATCATGATAATTAGCTGTTAATTTAAGTAAAACTTTTTGCCTTATAGATGACTATCAATATTTATTTACCTTGGTCTATAAAGTACTGCAAGGAACTCTGGTGGTGCAGTGGTTAAGCCATTGGACTGATAACCCAAAGGTTGGTGGCTCAAACCCATCAGCTACTCTGCAGAAAAAAATGAAGCAGTCTGCTTCTGTAAAGATCTATAGCCTTGGAAACTTAAAAGGGGTCACTATGAGTCAGAATTGACTCAATGACAGTGAGGTGTTTTTTTTGTTTTTTTTTAACATGAAGAATTGCAGGTTCCTACAAATTTCCAAAGAGAGACTAGTAGAAATAGTAAATGAGGTTCTACCTTACTGCTTTATCATACAAAATATACTAAAGTTTACCAATGTTATTTCTTACTAAGGACTGACAGACTACAATGGCTGAAATAGCTTAAGAAAAATTCAGTTCCCATAAACAAATAATTATCCTTGACAATATTAAGTACAACCATGACTATAAAGAATATATCTACTAGGTATTAGGTGCTATTTCTGAGACTAAGTTCTAGAATGGAGCCCTGACTCAGTGATGGAATTATTCTGCTCTCAAGTCCAGTTTAGCCCATTCTTTGAAATAAGTCTCTTTCTTTACCCACTTTTTCCATCCTTTGCCAAGTACCCTTCACCAATTCCCTTAAACTGACGTTTTTCAAACCATACTTTGAGACTCACTGGCAGGCAATGAAATCAAAGTATCGGTTCACTAATAATTTAAACTAGAGTTAAACAGAAAATAACAAAAGTATACTGTATGTACTAAGGGAAAGTATTACTTTGTGAAACTTTTGTATACATATTTTGTTCAGATTATATATATAAGGTAATATACATGTATATGCTTTGCTATATACTCAATCAGTATAAATATGCCTATACATAAATGTGCAAAATAAATTTCTACAAGTTGCAGTCAAAAACGCTGAAAAAACACTACACTAGCACTTTTATCTTAATTTGCAATATTTTCTGCCATCCTTTCACCCAACAATTCTCTTCCCCAGTTCCCTATACTCCAGGCTAAAACTTCATATGGTTTGGCCTGGAAGAATTTGAGTTTAGTTCTCTGAAGAGGATGTCAACTGAATTTACAGTCAATCTACTTCCTTATCTTATCCTCTGAGCTCCAAAAGTACATTTTAAATTTTTATTAAAATT